TGGAATTCTATTCACAGTTTTCACTCTTTTTAAGTATGCAAATGAACCTTCCCCCCCCCACACCGCGCACGAACTTCGCCCGTCCCGTGAATACGTGCGGTCACCGCCATGGAAAACCTTTCAGGGAGTAGCTGCTGGCAGCAGACCACCGCTTCTGCTTCGGTCGGCCCAATTCGCCCTGGCCCGACGCCTGGGTAATCTCATTCGGACGACTAGTGCGCTTACTTCTCGCTCCAATGCAAACAGCAGACCCCAGTATCTCAAGTTGGTTCTTTCCATTTATTAGTCAGGTTTCCTGCAGGTAGCTGAGCTGTGTCAGACGTGCCGTCGCAAGCGGCCGGAGCACGATCAAGGCGCGAGCCGGGTCTCCGGAAGGCAATCAGGTGCAGGTACCGCCACCTCGCGCCTCTGTTTTCTAGCTTCTCCCATGTCTTAATAAACCAGGAGGCTGTGACGACTTTAAGACTTAGGGCTAAACGGGTACAATTCATCACCTTTCCCGCCGCGGAGACGGAATCCCGATGTTCACACGGTGGCTGGCGGTTTCGCACGCGCGCGTTTGGCGAAATACTCTCAGCGGACCAGCGCCGGCCTCGGAGGCATCCAATAAAACGGCTTTGATTTCTCCATTTCCTGAAGCCACCCGCCCCTTCCGTCTTCCTGCCAGTGGTCCGGAGGCCTGGCCGTGCTCCTCATGTAACACCTTCTCACACTCATTCCACCTGGACCGGCCAGATTCATTCATCCACCTCGACCAGCCAAACTCATCTCTGTCTGATATGTAAGCAGAGCCTGGGAATGTTTCATATGACCCTGAAGGGCCACTGTGACACAAGTAGGCTTCTGGGTAGATGGTTTCTACATCATCACAACTGGACACTCCCTACCCATGCCTGAGTCTAGCGGCTTTTCCATGTATCTACCCATCTGTCTGCAGCACACACACACACATATAAAGTCACACATTAAACAGGAACCTGGAGCTTGCAGACTGAAAGGAATGCACATGTACTCTTATGCTGAGAGCCACTGCGTTCAACCTGATTATCCAGCCCACATAAGGCCAGTCTGCTGAGAACATCGCCCCCTGGAGGGCTCAGTCTGGTAAACTGTGGCAGCTGAGCCATGGTGGGTTGCTGTACAGGATTCGCACAGAGAAGTGTGCACAACCCAGTGAGCTGTCTGCTAAACCCCACACCTGGTGTACGGAAGGGTGGAGACGTCCACCCCCCCCCCCCCAAACAGGCCCATGTCGCTAGAATTGCACAGAGTATGCGACTCTGCCAGCTGCCTGCCCGAACATCCTCCAACCTCATCAGCGCCTCAAGGAAGGTGCGCTAATTAGCGAACAAGATATATCGCCTGCAGACACTGATGCATAATAGAAGAGCACGGACCAATTATTTCCAGGCACGGGCAATGTCCAAAGATATAGGGTCATCCCTGGAGGACAAGAGCTGGATCAAGCACCGCTCTTGGTCAAGCTTCTGGCCATCGATCTGAAGGGTCATGTAGCTCATTAGCTGTCAGTCTTCCAAGTGAAAAATCAAGATGATTGCAGGTGTAAAAAAAATATATAAATTGTGTGTTTATTCACATATGTAGCTAGACAGATCGGCTCTCTTGTGTGCAGCCTATTTCAGCCAAGCTGACTTTGGCTCTTAGACAGTGGAACTTGGGAATATTAAAATAACATAATAAAATACAGATATTTCTTGCACTGTGTCGCTTTTGTTTGAGTTGCAATTTTATAAAAGCCCGAGAGAGAGGAAGGTGTTCTCTGACCTTGTACTCCACCTACCAATAAATTTATTATGCTGGAATTTACTTTTTGATTTATTAAATTCCACAACAGTTCTGTTCACTTGCTATATTTAGCAGTTGCTAGGGAGAGAAGGCGTATAATTCGCCAGTCAGGGCCAATGACTGCTATGGATGTTGCAGCAAAACTTATTACAAGTTAAACTTAAGCAAAACATCTCACTATTTCATGCCGTTGGCGATAATTACTATGCTTGCATCCACAAAGGCCTGGAAAACCCACTAATTACTTTATTTGTGCTGTTTTACTTTTATGGTTTAAACTTACAATATGTATTGTTTTAGGAGCGCGTATTCTTCGTAGTAATTAGGTTTCAGTGTTTTGTTGCTCTCTAGCGCCCTCTCGTGCGACAGGGTGGCACTGCCGTCTGAAAAACAGCTGCTTGTTTCCACCGACATCCTTTGTCTCGCCGTGGACGGGGGAGGAGCAACGGCACGGTATTTATAACGTTGGCAGTAGAGCTGAGATCTATCTCCCTATGGGGCAACATTGTCCGTGAATGCAAAACCCATAATGGTCAAACAAATAGATGAGTTCAAATCCCAAAAGGAGAGTTGGTGTTGTACCCTTAAGAGTGTAAAATCATCCTATATAACTGAGTAGAGGGTGGGCCCAAAAGCTGACTAATGTTTCCGTTAATCAAAACAATGCTTCTTATTCCAGTGATTAGCGTGCCTATGCGGCGATGTCTCTGCATTATGTGACGGTCCCCGCCTGTCATTCAGGCAGTGACGGGTGAGAGACCAAGCAACAACCGTAACGTCAGCAGGAACGGGGCCGTCCAGATCCAGCCCAGAAAAACAGGCGGACATAATTAATGCCATCACCACTACATTATTACAAACATCCTGCCTTACCACACAATGAGCCATACAAAGAAAAACGGGTTCTGCTTTAATTTGTTTGTCATTTAGTTTTGCTCGTTATCCCTTTTGGTTTTAAGATGCATAACTACAGAACCATCGCTGTAGTGCTAATGCAGTAAATGCACCGAAACAACGCCCACAGTTTTAAAATGAATAGTAAAAATGCTGTAGATTATATGCATATAAGGAAGGCACTGGTAAGTCTGATCCACACACGCTTATCAGAAGTGATACGACCTGGGCAATATTCTGCAATGCTTATGAACTTCGCCCGGTTCCAACATTCGGCCACTGGGGGGAGCAGCTGCACGCGGTTGCTCCTAAAACAGCAAAGCAGATACTGTATACATTGCATATACATATTTAAGAGAGTGTTTTTAAGTGTGAATTATCCAGGAGATTCAATGTATTCAGGAAATTAAAAGTTACCCTCAACGAAGTCATAAAGACACGGGATCAGCGGCGGGAAACTGATGGATGGAAACTATCTGACATTGACGTCAAATTCAGCTAAAGTGTATCGAGACAAATTTCAAAATAATCCACGCTGCTTGAGTAAATGGGAGATAAAATTTCATATAATTTAAAATGCGATTTCTTGGGAGCCGGAATTTCATAATTTCATGTTGTACTTTCTCAAAACAGTTATGGATAAAACCGGACATAATAATTAAAGCATCTCAGATTTAATTCGGAACAAAATACGTAAGACAGTAAAACGTCGTAGCATTGCGTGCTTGTGACCATGAGGACTGACCGAACGTCTCGTGCGTTTGATGGGGGCGTTAAGAATGACCATATGTAATAAATAAGCTACAATGAGGGCTCCACCGTCTGCGTCGTGGGCAAGTGTCACTCCAGCCGGAGCAGGTGATGCCCGTGCGGCCAGACCCCAGGTCCACCCGTTTGGTGACATTTCTCCCATCAAACAGGCACCACTTCCTTATAATGAAGCTGAACTCAGAAGATCCAGTCATTTGAACACCTTTCATGATTATTTTGGTGCTTCTGACCGGCTTACGGCAGAGGAAAAGCCCGTCTCTCAGGCGAGGGGGGACGCGGGGGAGGCGTGCTGTTTCTCCTGGGGAGTGACTTTGGCTGCCTCTACATTTTGGCGAAAGCTCGTTAGATATGAAAAGGAGGGGGGCGATTATCACCTTTGATAGTGCAACACATGGTGGGGCGCAGGAAGCGCGATTCTTACTGCAGGAAACGTCTGGCTTTTTTCTTAGAAGAAGCGGCAGCATCGCTGGTTAGATACTGCAGACATGGATGACCTGAGCGCGTCTCCCACCACGGGGCAGCGGCAGTGTCAGTGCTCACATCTCATCCAGCACCGGCTGTAATTCATCCTTAGCTCATCGACATAAAACATGCTCGATTGCACGCGAAAAAAGACTAATTCAAAAGCTCAGCAAATCACTGAAATTATTATTTATAATATTAGTAGGCTACCAGTACCACGCTTCTAACATTAAAACAGCATTATTACTGGGAATGGCTTTCACGAACTTCTTAAGTTCGCGGTCTCATTAACAAAGAATGAATAATTAATCTTTTGATCACAGTTGCTTTGTTATCGATATGAGATGCTAAGCTTTTAATTACGAATTCGTATAAAGCATCCCCGAGTCGCTTAGTATACTAAACTAACATCTAGCCATTGGATATTGTCGAGGATTAGAGGTGTGCCTGATTACTTTGTTATTGGTCTGACTCATATTTATTTTGTTCCAGATGACAGAGGACGTAAGGCGCTGCACTCCAGCGTGTGACGGGACACCGATACACACGTATGTCATCCAGCGTAATACACACACACACAGCATGTGCCGATCACATTGTCGAATCATAGAATCACTAGTTCACCTGAACCTGACGTCATGGGGGGGCATCTCCAACACACCCAGAACCACAATTCATTGTCTTTGTCAGTTGCTGACATACTTGTTTTTCCAAAAGCATCTAGCATTACTCTAATATACCCCCCATTCCCTCACAAACCTGCTTATTAAACCTGGCTAGCAAACACATATTACTTATTTCTAATCATTTTACAGCAGGAAGCATATTAAAATTAATGAACTGAAATGATTTATATACAACCCTGTTTCCATAAATGTTGAGATGCTGTGTAAGATGTGAATAAAAACAGAATGCAAAATGATTTGCAAATCACAAAAAGCCATGTTTAATTTCAAATATGACAAAGAAAACATATTGGATGCTGAAGCAGACATTTTATTGTTTTATGACAAATATATGTTCAATTTGAATTTGATGCCAGCAAAAACAGTTCAAAAAAAGTTGGAACAGGGGCAACAAAAGACTGGAGAAGCTGCGTAATGCTAAAAGAAAACACCTGGTTGAATATCTCACATCCAATTAGATTAATTGGCAACAAGTCAGTAAGATGACTGGGTATAAAAAGAGCCTCCCAGAGAGGCAGAGTCTCTGTGCAGTGAAGATGGGAGAGGTTCACCTCTCCGTGCAGTGATGATGGGGAGAGGTTCACCTCTCCGTGCAGTGAAGATGGGGAGAGGTTCACCTCTCCGTGCAGTGAAGATGGGGGGAGGTTCACCTCTCTGTGCAGTGAAGATGGGGAGAGGTTCACTGCTCGGTGAAAGACTGTGTGGGCAAATAATGCAACAATGTAAGAAGAATGTTCCTCAGCATATTATTGCAAAGAAATTGGGAATTTCATCATCTATGGTACGTAATATTATTAAAAGAATCCGGAGAAATCTCTGTGTGCAAGGGAAAAGTCCAAAAACCAATATTAGATAGCCGTGATCTTCAGGTCCTCAGGCAGCACTGCATTAAAAACAGACATGATTCTATAGTGGAAAACACTGCATGGGCTCAGCTCACTTCCCAAAACCACTGTCTGTGAACACGGCTCGTCACTGCATCCACAAATGCAGGATGAACCTCTACCACGCAAAGAAAAAACCATATCTAAACATGATCTAGAAAGGCTGCCGACTTCACTGGGCCTGAGCTCATTTATGATGGACTGAGGCAAAATGGAAAACTGTCCTGTGGTCTGACAAAGCAGAATTTCAGATTCTTTTTGGAAATCATGGACGCCATGTCCTCCGGGCTATAGAGCAGAGGGACCATCTAGCTTGTTATCAGTGGACAGGTCAAAAGCCAGCATCCATGATGGAATGGGGGTGCATTAGTGCCCATGGCTTGGGCAGCCTGTGCTTCTGGGATGGCACCAGTAATACTGAACGATATATACAGGAGCAACACATGCTGCCATCCAGACATCTTTTTCAGAGAAGGCCTCGTATATTTCAGCAAGACGATGTCAAACTGCATTCTGTATTACAACAGCATGGCCCTGTAGTAGAAGAGTCTGGGTGTTAGACTGGCCTGCCTGCGGTCCAGACCTGTCACCCAATGAAAACATTTGGTGCATCATGAAACAAAAAATCCGAGAGACCCCCCCTAACTGTTGAGCATTTGAAATCCTATATCAGGCAAGAATGGGACAATGTTTCACTTCTAAAACTGCAGCCACTGGTCTCCTCAGTTCTCAAACGATTTAAAGAGGAGGTGATGCAGCGCAGTGGTAAACATGCCCCTGTCCCAACTTAATGAGACATGTTGCTGGCATCAGATTCTCAGGTTTAACATACTACATGTTGTCTTTCTTCTATTTTCAATTAAATATGGGTTTATAAATATGATTTGTAACTCATGGGGTTTAACATCTAACCGCAATGTCCAATCTGGGACGTAAACTGCAATTGTTGATTATTAAGACTTGGGGTTTAATTAAACCAAGATATGACCATTCTACATATATAGGTCATAAGTAATATTGATTAGTCCCAATAGTCCTTTGATAATTATTTAACAGACCAATGTAAAGCAAATTCAAACGTAATTACCACTACATTTTGAAGAAGATATTAATGTGATTTTTCCAGTCAGGTTACAACCAATAAAATCAGATCTCACACAGCTAATCAAATGTAGTATTGATAAGGGGGCGCATGCCCTTTTGCACACTAATCTTCTTCATGTCCCAAAATCATAGAGCACCATTCAAAAGTTTGGACACGTCAAGCTGCCTAAAATGGAAAGTGATAGACTATCCTATCACATGACCTGGCGACCTGACCCAGACCCATCAGAGATGGGTTTGGAGGAGTTTGAAGGCAAAGCAGCCAATCAGTGCTCAGCATATGTGGGACCTCCTTCAGGACAGCTGGGAAAGCATCCCAGGAGGCACCGCATGGAACTGGTGCAGACCATTCACACACACACCATACACACCATTCACACACTCACACACACACCATTCACTCACACACATGCACACCTATGGGCAATGTGGGGGCAAACCGGAGTACCTGGAGGGAACCCCTCGACAGCACGCTGAGAACATGCAAACTCCACACACGTGGAACCCTGGCAGTGATGCATAATTCAATATTTGCTATTTTATAGTTTTGATGTTCTATGGTTATTGTAAAACATAGAGAACAGTACTAATAAACCTTTCCATGGGTAGATGTGTCCAAACTTTTGACTGATACTGTATATAGGTTTACAGATCTATATGGGAAAGATAGCGTGTCTCATGATTCAGATTAAACCGTGTTACTTTTTCTGGTCAAATGGCTGTTTTTGAGTGCTGCCCTGACACCAAATACAAGGAAACAGCTTTTATTCTCTATTTTGGCAAGGTCAGGTTGATGGCCGTGGCTGTAAGGAGCCTCTTACCTCTCTGGGAAAAGGTCAAGGCTCCGGTCCGCTACCTGCCAGGGATATCCCGCCAGTGTACATATATACACACCGTCCACGGGAATATCACGGGCAAAACTAGGCGAAAACAATTAAAAGGGAAAACTTTTTTTAAAAAAAAAAGGAATAATAATTGTGTCAATGTAACGGTATACAGTTACACCCTGAGTTACAGATGTCTGAGCCAATACCAATATAAACAAAGAAATCCAACAGTTGTATTAGTTGCAAAAATCAAACATAAGGAGACATATATATAGCCTATATGTTTTGGGAACATTTTATTTTATTTATGGCTTCGTCTAAGGAATTACCAGCTGAGTTCCATTAAACAGGGGCTGCACTGGCATAATAGAGGAAAGGGCAGGGAGCCGGTGGGGCCCCGCACGGACTCCATGGTCACCTGACGAGAAGTGAATGAATCGGAGGCGGTGGGAGCGAGCGAGCGGCTGCGGCGCGGAGCGGGGAGCGGAGCACAGCGGGGCGGGCACACGCACGGGCGCCGGCGCCGCCTTTCCCACCCTCCAGCACCACACCACTCCAGCACACCAGCCTTTCTTCTAGCGTCTCCCCCTTTGTAGCCATTCCGAATGTGGCTTTTTAAAAGTTTCGGTGTTCTTTTTGTATTTAGGATCATTTTACGAAGACACTGAAAGTGTTCGCCATGGGAAGTCTGGCATTTCCAGGCTGATCCATGGACCGATCGCCGTGAAGCGGATGGTTTTTTACTTTACTTTGCACAAATAAGGGGAGCATAAATTGAACTGGAGGGACGCGTACTGGGGCAACTTTTTGTTGCTGTTGCTGGCTTTTTTTTGCGACTCACCTCCTCTCAGCCGAGTTTGATTCAAAGTTAAGAGCCAAGATGGCGGCCGATTCCGTGCAGGTAAGAAAACTTAATAACTCGGCGGATACTTCAATGGAAATGCGTCCACGTCGCTGGAAACTGTGTCCGGCCGCGCTACAAACATCGATAAATTACGGGACCGGCCATCGGTGGGGGATAAAGGTTATTTCCCCGGCTGACAGATTCCAGGAGGGATTTTCCTGCCCCCTCCCCCCAGGGAAGCAGGGATTGGGGCCTGGAAAATAATTAAACAATATTCCAACTGTTGCTCCATTGCCGACCTGCAGAGAAACGTTTACATTATATATGTTTTTAAGTTACCCCCCGGTGCACACGGGACGCGGCGGATCCCGTCTGTGTGGCTTGTCCCATTGCATCGTTTCTTTTCTTTCTTTTGAAAACAAAACGGGTTAAATATGTACCGAAAGGACACCCGGTTCGTATTTTCTATGTTCTTTCCAGTTATTTAAACAATGCGTGTGGTTCCCCGCTAATTGTCCTTTATGGTAGGCTATATGAAGGTCTTTTACACATTAAATGTTTATTTTGAGCACCGTTACGGGGCCATGTCCCCCCCCCCTCTCGGAGCTTGCAGGGCGCAGTAACGTTTATTTTTGGCAATGCGCGTTACATGGGGCTGCCCGCAGTCAGCAGTAATGATATCATTTCGCTTAAGGTCGCTTAGCTGAGATCCGAAAGCCGAGAGACGCTCACAAACCAAACTTTAAAGTGGTGTTCTCTGTCGTTTTAAGTAATGCATAATTGCCTAGTTATTTTATTCTATATTTTGTAGTGTTTGACAGGCAGCCTGCAAAGCGTGGCCCGGCCGTGTGGCCCCGTAAACAGCTGCTTGTTCCTCCTTTCTGTCCGAAGACGACGCCTCGGCATAAATAAGCCGCGCGGGTAGTGAACCGGCACCTTATCGCGCGCTCCAGCCCCTCTGCTGTTTACAGTAACAGTGACAGTGACATTCATATTATCACATTATAATCATGACCTTATGCAAATCAGCCTTCAGACCATGTGTGCTTATAGATTTCTTGATGATAACATTTTTTACATAAACCATCGCCCCCAAAATGCAAAGGGATCATATATTGCGTATTCTTATTTAAAAAAAAAAAAAAAACCCGTGAATACATTTTAGTTTCGTCTCGATCCACATATGTAGTGTAGGGATCCACATTACCTGTGATGGGGGTTCATTTCAGTGTGTCCGATTTTCCCCAGCTGTTATGGTAATGAATGCATATTTTACCTTACAAACTCTAATTATGGTGACTTACTAAGGCACGGCGTACCGTAACTTGCGGAGATCGCGTCGGATTTCCTCCGTTTTGCCGCGTGACTGAAGGCCGCGGACCGTAATGGCAGCACTGAGCCACGGTAACTGAATGGGGCTGCATTTCGTCTTTCTCCTGGGATCTGATGCAATGCCTTGCGGGAGGATAGGGGGTAAATGGAGTTCTGGGCCTGTTTTAAAAGTGTGTTTTCAAAATGCAACTTTTTTTCCCTTTTAAAAAAAAATACGGGGCATTTATATAAAAGGGGAGGTTTTCCCATGGGCCGGCGACAGGATAGCCTCAAACAGAGGCAGACATGCATCCGGTGCAAGACAATAGCGCACAATTAAGCGTCCGGCCGGCAGGCAAATCGGCTCAGGGTTTAAAAAAAAAAAAAAAAAAAGCTTTGATTCGTAAAGACATTTTTAAAAACAAATCATTAAGATATACATTTAAATTTTGCTACGTTCTTGTTACATGCAGATGTCCTCCTTTGATCTCGACATGTGCCCTGATTTTGTGAATACAAAACATAAAAACATTCTACAAAATATTTACATTTTCACCGCACAGATTTATTTCCTCCAATCATCTCGTATTGCGCAAGCGCACTGGGTCGCGAGCTGTCCCGGGACTGAAACTGCGACAGGAAAGCGATACTTCCAGGTTGCGTCCAGGAGCACTTGATCGTCTGGTTGCTGTAGACCGAGCTGGTCCGTCAGGTATACTTCATAATGACTGGCTTTATCTGGAGCCAGATCTCTGCTGTCAGGGCTCAGCCCAATTAATCACGCTGCCTGCGAGTGAGAGGCGCTTCCGCGGCTTGGGAAGTGGGTTTGTTAGCAGAGCAGTGATTGGGTCCTGCGCCCATGCATGTATACATGTATTGTATTTTTTTTTCTTTTCTAAAATGTGTCATCTCTGTGATTCAGAGACCTTTGTAGAATGTCGCCCTCTCTGCTGAGTAAAGTTGATTTTGTGACTCAGTGGATTGTTTACTTGCACTGACACATGCAAACAGGTCTGTTCTCTTTGCTTTCCTAGGAAGACACCGGCTTGTACTTTCGCTTGTAATCAGTTAATTGAGGTGCTTCAGCCTGAGGTGATTAATAAGATGATGAGTCCTCTTTGCTGGGGGTTCTGTTCCGTGGCCCCGTTCAGATTGGTGCCATAATGTATGTGCCCCCCCCAACGCTGACATCATTGTCCTCATCCCCAGTCAGTCTGGGCCGCCTGCCCCCCTCAGCTGGGGGGGGTGAAGTGAGTTTAAAAAGTTTTAATTTGCAGCGTGAAGTTGATCTAGCCAATGTAATTGGCTCACTGTGCTTTTATTGAAAGAGATCTGTGGATTATGGTGTTACTGAAGAGGTCGGTGCTGGGGGGGGGGGTGTCACATGGCCAGTTAAGAGAAATTAGGATTATAGTGTGGGCCTGTGCCAGATTTAATCTTTTTTTTTATGTAATCCCCTCATTCCTCTGCCCCCAAGTGAATTTTTTTGATCGACGTCCTTGTATATTGTGTCCCCTGGAAGTTCAGATGTCATTCGTGTGGTAAATGCCAGCAGAGGCGGATTTGGCTGCACAGTCTCGCTTGTCTTTATTATGTGTAATGTATAAAAGCAGGGTCAGACGGTTCCTGGGGTTAAGGGCCTTGCTCATGAGTCCAGTGCTGATCTTGGGATTTGAACCAACAACCCACAGGCACTTTGGTTTCCTGATGCAAACCTGTTTTTTTGGCCCAGGCAGAGACACGAGAGTCATTTTCCTGAGAATTTCTTTTCCTGCTTCCCCGTAGGAGGGACGTTTGAATAGCTTTGCCTCTGACCGTAACGTCCAGGTCTTTCTCGCTAAATTGCACTTGGCGGTCTGCAGCTCCTGGGTAGTTAGACTTTGAACTTGCTTTAATAGACGTCTTTATTGATGCACCCTCATCGTTTGGGGGGGCTCGCTGTCTGGTCCACTCACACTGCCCAGGGGTGCCTTTCGTCTTCTGCAGGCCCTTGTTGTTTCCGCGCCACTGGGTGGTGTTACTGGGTGGAGCTGACCGGTCGCATGGTGGGAGTAAAGCTGGGCTGTGGTCCACAGGCGGTGGTTACTGGTTTGACTGAGTCATTTTCCCAGCATGCTTAGCTTGGGGGGTGTTGTCCAGAGGCAAAGCCCCTGTCAGTTAAGCAAAGATGTTTGCACTGTGATTTCCCCCCCACCCCCGCCCCCATCATTCGGGCTGGTCGGTGACCTCCTCGTTACCTGTGAGTCACTGGTTACTGGAGCCCCCTCCCCCCCGACCCACACTGCCTGCGTCTTGGTGTCCACAGGCCCGGGCCCCCCCCCACCCCGGATCCGCTCTCTGCACTCTTACTGCCCTGACCTTGACACACCAACTGCAGGTGCTCTGGCATGTTGGGTGGCCGAGCTGCGCCCTCACTGTCCCCCCCGCGCCCTCACTGTCCCCCCTTCGCACTCCCAGAGTTACCCCCTTCTTATGGTCCTCGGACGTGTCTGTCACTCTTGAGAACGCCACTTTGTACAGTTTGTGCGACGTTGTGTGTGTCTGTCCACTGTCACACCGCAGTTTAGCACAAACGGCTAATCTGCTACATGTTCATTTTACTTGTTGCACCATATCCTTTTAACTGGGTTATTATTTTTTAAAGTGTCTAATCATTTTGTAAATGTACAAGTTTGAGAGATCGAAACTGTTGTAGTAACAGCACAATGAACATGTCCTTGGTAAATGTCATTAATCATGTCATGAGCACTTTTAGTTGGTGCGTGTCGTTAGCACGCGTCGTTGGTGCGTGTCGTTTGTGCCGGTCGCTCGCTCCTGTCGTGTTGGAGACCTCAGCAGTCGAGGTTTCTTCTCTTTCACACCTCCCTCATTCCTAAAAAATGTTCTTCTTTTTGCTTCCCGCTACTCGCGGCAGCCTGAGGCCTGAACGATATACTCCCACACATCCTTTCCAGTTGAGTCCTTGGTTGTGTCTTACGAAGCCTAAAATAACCCAGCACCCAGTGAGACGCCTCTGACGCGGGTGCGAGCCGTTCTGTGATTAGCCGTGCGTGGGAGTCACATCTGTTTGTAGGGAGTGCCCTGGGATGAGTGACCATTACACGCACATGGTGAAACTTCTGTGGGGGGGGGTCCATTTGTGTCACGCACTTGTCGTTTCTCCCACCCCCTCTGCTCCATATAGGCCCGCTGGGTCTGAGTCGGCATTCAGCCTGGCACTGAAAGCGAAGTGGCCACGCCCCCGAGTGTAAATCCCACCAATGGCCACCGTTTGTGACCTTGTAGCCCCGCCCAGGCACACCTCAGCTGAGGGGGACAGCTTTTTCCGGATTGGGCCTTTGCGTGTGTGTTCTGAAGGGTGTGAACCCCACCCCCACCCAGCAGACTTATGAACATAGTACAGCCGTGTGGCGGTGGTCTGCCCCCTGCAGCCTTATTTTAAGACCTTACTTCTCCAGGATTAGCTCTGGCCTGCTCGCTTTTCTTGTCCACTGGTGTCTCATCCGCCACTAGCTTAAGTGGGATTTTGCCTCCAGAAAAGTGTCTGTATGTCTCTGGGGGTGGGGGGTAACCTGTAATCCCCTCTTCCTCCTGGCCGCACGGTGATCGTTCATCTGCCGCCAGCACTGTCGAAGGAACATTGCATTTGAGGGGGAGAAAGAACAGCATGCTGGGACACGTTTGCACATTGCGGGGGTTTGTGGGCGTCCTGAAGGAGGCAGAGCTTAAGGTAACGGGCAGGGCAGGGTGGCCGTTCTCAATGGCTGTCCGCTGGCTCGGCCCTGGGCTGGAGTGTGCGCGTGTGTGCGCGTGCGCGTCTCTGCGTGCGTGTGTGCGTGCGCGCGTGTGTGCGTGTGGCCTCTTTATGAATGGCCGACCGAGACCTAATGTTACGTCTCCGTCTGTTTCCAAAGCAGTAGTAGGATTTTTTATTTTATTTTTATTTTTGGCCTTGCTCCATGTCTAACTGTCCCCACATGTGCTGGGGGGTGATTTATATTTATCAGAGCCGGCTGAGTGGACCTCCCCAGTTCGCCGTGCGATAACTGCAGGAGGGGGGGGGTTTGTGTGGTGGGACCCCCCCCCAGGGGCCGCTTTGGGGAGTGTGCTTTCTTTCCGGCTCGGGGTCACCTTATTACCAATGGTGGTCAAACCCAGCAGTTTATCTAGTTGAGGTTAATCATGGTAGATCATTTTAGTCTGTCCTGACTTTTCATTGGTGTGAGTTGTGCAGATATTATCTGCCTTTGAGTTGGGGGGGCACTTTAGAGCCGCTTAATCTGGTTAGGAAGGAAACCCCTGTATTCCGCTTTGTCCTCCGGGCCGCCTGGAAGTCGAAGCTGTCGCGGTCGATGGCACCGTGATGGGCTCCCGTCCTGAGGTCATGGGCGCCATACTGTTCAATGGTGTTTGCTGAATAGTACGTCGTGACCCATATCATCTCAAAATTCATACGCATTTAAAAAAAAATAAAAATTATTCCTCATCTTGTCTGTACTTTTGAGTGTTGTCATCAGAGGGTGCAGGCCTGTTTTTCTGGCCGTGTCTGGGTCAACAGTTCAAATCCCGCATGCTTACTCAAGAAGGCACTGCTCTTAGGCTGTAATTGCGCCGTTAGCTGATTGAACCACTTTTGTCATCTCGTGTTGAAAAGGACGCCTTCGTTGAGGTCTAGCTGTCATTTTTGGCTCCTCTCCAGGCATTGTTGTGTAGAACCACTAATTAAAGGCTTGGCTAATTATGTTCAGTCTGCGTTTTATTAAATTTTTCCAGGATGGTCATATAAAGTGACCTCCGCCTGCTTTTCTGGCCCTGTCACGTTCCCTGACCTCCTCGCCTTTCCACTGTATTCCAGGGTGACACTCGGAGTCGCATGGTCTCGGATCGCCTCCCCCTGAGCCACCTCCGCGACCTCTCCGACACCACGGTGCAGCAGAAGCTGGACGAGATCAAGCGGGAGATCCGCAAGGAGCTGAAGATCAAGGAGGGTACAGAGAACCTGCGCAAGGTCACCACCGACAAGAAGAGCCTGGCCTACGTGGACAACATGCTGAAGAAGTCCAGCAAGAAGGTGGAGGAACTGCACCAGGAACTGCAGGAGCTAAATGCCCACATCGTGGTGAAGGACGCCGAGGACCTCATAGGTATGCTGCCTGGTCCTAATGGCCTTCCCGTCTCCCTGAGTTCTTTAGCTGGGCTTTCACTAGCTAGATTATGTCATTACATTTGCCTTCTCTGATTGGTTGGAAGGGGCTTTGATGACCTACTTGACGTGGCCAATCGGGAGCGATGCTGAGAGATGCAGAGCCTGTGATTGGCTGGTAACAGGGTTTACATTCTGTATAAAGGTGTACTTCACCATCTTGAGCCAGCCTGTGATTTTC